GTCCCCGTTTTTTGGTGCGTGCAGGCGTCCAAATTCAAGGCAGCTCACGCTCTCTGTTGTCTTTTTGCAGACCGAAAAGCGTGAAGACGATAGCACCGAAGCGGAATCAGTCTCGCGGCGTTGAATCGTCCAACGAGGAAGATCGATCGTTTGTCGTTGTCAACGAAATAAATAACACCTGCGTCGTCCAGGCGATGTCGCAACGATATCGATGCGAGTCCTGTGATGAACAATTCGACACGGAGCCTGCTCTGTTGGTTCACAGGACCGAGCGGTCGATCCTTCGAACTCGCGAGGCACTGAGAAACACGGGGAGAAAGTACAGGTGCGACGAGTGTTGCGAGAGTTTCACGAAGAAAGTACAGCTGTACAAACATCGACGAGGCCGGTGCAAAGGATCATCGGCCACGACTGACAATAAACAGCGGAGACCAAAGGATAATAAAGCGATAGAAACGAAACGGGAGGACCAGCAGGCTGCTGTTTCTGGCGGCCCGATAGAATGTAACGTGTGCCACAAGGTTTTCAAGAAGAAGAAATATCTGAATGTTCACAAAACGTTGCACGGGGCACCACACGTTTGTCACGTGTGTGGCGCCAAACTGACCTCCGAATATTACCTGAAGATTCACATTAGAAGGCACAACAAGGAGTTCACTGAATTCTGCCAGGTATGTAACAAAGGATTTTACTTGAAGGCGACTCTGAAAACGCACATGAGCGTGCACAGCGACGATAAACCGTGCACCTGCGACATTTGTCATAAATCGTTCGGCAACAGAGTCTATCTGAGAAGTCACATGAAGATTCACAGTGAGCCGGAGAGCAGGAGAAAGTACAGATGCGAGATCTGCGGGTTCGAGACTTTCTACAGTTACTGTTACAAGGAACACTTGTGGACGCACACGGGAGAAAGCCAGGTGGCCTGCGAGGTCTGCGGCAAATTAATTAGGAGACAATACATGAAGATCCACATTAGGATACATACTGGCGAGAAGCCGGAGATCTGCGAATTTTGCGGCAAGGCATTCAGCTCAAGAAAGTACCTGATCAAGCATCGAAGAACTCACACAGGGGAAAAGCTTTATAAATGTAAAATCTGCGAGAAGCGTTTCACCCAACGTGGCACCCTCAGCGCCCATTTGCGTCGGCACGAGGGTACTAAATGATGAATCTCTTGAGTTTTCGTTGTAACTGGTTTCCTTAATAGGACTAATTGCGAATGAGAATTACAAAACAGTTGAATTTTTACACACTATCACACTAATGATACGCATAACTTGAAACTGATAGCATTGGAAGATACTATTTATTTTTAACAGTAAAAGTATTGATTGATCCTTCTAAGTATGATTGTAACTTGTATTGCGGAATGCTGTTGTGAGAATCGCGTGTATATAATGTAACAACATTAGTAAGTACATAGGCATAAATCATCATATCACTTGTAATATCTTAACAAGAACTGAAGAATATTAAAAGTTTCATTTTAATAAAAAACTAAACAATTTTATATTTCATTTAGATTAGCCCTCGTATGTAAAATTAATGCAATGGTTGCACGCGAGACAGCTGCCGGTAAGTAAGTGATATATTTTTGAGCCGAGAGAAACATTTAAGAAAATAGCAATGCAACGCAGTGGCACCTTTCCTCTATAGAAAAAATGCTAAATTAACAGGCAGATTGTGAATTTGTTATTAAATAGCTCTTACAAAGATAAAACATAAAAACTTCAAAGTACATCGTTTCTGCGATGATACTGAATTTTCAATACGACTTTGAAAATTTCGAAGTGGGAATTAGAAATGCGTGTGACTATAGAATATTGAATTTGAAAACAATTTCGAACGTGATGTATTGAATCTTGATAATTTCGTGAAAATTGTATTTAAAAGATCACGATCTTAAAAAAACACGTAAAACTTTGTATACTGATATCTTTTTAGAAACAGAATGATATCAAGGGATCTTAATTTCTTGAAAATTCTATTCAATCAGTTTATTTATTATCCTATTTAATTGTGATAAATATATTTATATTATTAATCTATCCACATCTACAATACTATACTTTTTTTTTTTTTTTTTT